GTGCAAACTTATGTAAACATCCCTCTTAAGACTCGTATAATTTATAAAATGAATGGATGTGTATTCACTTCACTTTACACATACAAATGTATATGTGTATTCACGTACACAAACACACACATACATATATACACACACTCGCAAACATATATATAAATCTGTGTGTATGTGTGTTTGTCAACTATTTCATATAATACACATACACCTATATACATAGTTTATTATGTTACAAGTATATTTATTTGCTTTCTCTTCTAACGCTATACACTTGACTGAAAGTTATGCTGGTGCAATTTTTTTTTCTATTGTGCACGTGTTGTAGAGGAGGATCGGAAAATGACTCCGAATCCGGACTTTAAACTGGTGCAAATGAACCATTTTTATCAAGAATTGTTTGATTCAAAAAAAATTGTTACAGAATTCAAACTATACTCTATTTATTTTTATATTTTTATTTTAGCACTAGTATACTTGCTTGTCGGTGTTGATATAAACAATAAATGTATTTGTATTCGCGTATTGTTCAAAAATTAAAATGACAACAAAGCTAGAGTTGATAGCAACAGCAACTACATCAACAACAAAAACAACTACATAAATACGGACGACAATGGCATTACTGACTATCAATACATTAATACCAACAACAACATCAACAACAACAACCACAATGACATTATTAGCCCAAAAACAACATCGATAATGCATAAAATTTTCAACATACGCTACTAAGAAATGACTTTATATTATAGCTACTAGAAATTTTAGATGAAAAACCGCTTGCTTTTAACAAATTTTCAAGTTTTACACATTCATTTAATCATAATACTGGAGTGTTTCTAAAATTTAAGAATATGCAGACAAAAAACAAATAATTTATTTGATAAAAAATTAGAACTTCATTTAGTAAATAAGTATTAAATAAAGATATATATAGATAGATAGATAGATAAGTATATCTTCATCAGTATTTTCAATTTTCAAATGTTTGCATTGCCTCAAGTGGTAAGAATATGTGAATATGCGAGCATTATGTAAGTGTGTGTGTGTATGTATGAGTTTATATGTGTGAAAATTATTACGATGTATACTGGGTTCATCTAAGTTTTCATGCAACAAATGAACGGTTTGAACGGTTAAAAATTTTTTCATCTAACATTTGGTCTTTCATTAGCTAAACTGAACATACGCATAAACAAACACACATACAAATACACACACAAACACCCACATTTTCTAATTAGCATGTGTGTGTGTGTGTGTGTGCGTGAAGCGTGTGTGTGTGTGTGTGCGTGACGCGTGTGTGTATGTTGCAATGTGTAATGAAATTTTAAGATTTCAGCACATACGCTCACATGCATGTAAACTATTTGTATTCTTGTACATTTGCTTGTGCTTCTGCAGTACATACAAGCGGTAACAGAGGGACTAGATTTATAACTTCATACGTAATTACATATGCGCTAATGTACAAGAACACACAGACACACACACGCTCGCACAAAGTTGATCTACCTAACTATAACAATAAGCATGACTGTTATTCAATGTCACATACGCAGGCAGTGTACACATGACTTTACAAGTGCATTTGTTTGTGCATGCCTCTCTGAGCGACTTGCCTGCCCCACACTACGTGCGATTGTCTTAATGCTGTCTTGTTGTTTCTGAGTTGTTTAGTGAATTTCTGATTTTTCTTTTGACAGTTTTCAATGAAATACAATCAAAACCAATGAACCAAATACAAATAAGCTACAAAATGATGACAGTGAAAAAACAAACAAAATCATTTTTGACTAACTTTTTCCATGATTTCACGATCCACTTCCGGTTCCGGTTCAGCCCAATCGACGGCAATAACTTGATCCCACATGCGAATGCCCTTGTTGACGAGTTTCCGACGAGCCATGGCGGCCAGGTGGTGAGTTTCGAACTCAACAAATGCGAATCCTCGGTTTTTCTGTTTGTCTCTTGCATCTGGCTTCACGATGACGTCTCTCACCCCTGGAACCAGCTTGGAAATGTTTTCCAGAATTTCAGGTCGGTGCTTGTCTCTGGGGAGTCCTCCGAGGAACAGTCTGCAGTTGTCCACACTGGGGCAGACTCCAATCTTCCTGCCTTTCCTTATTTCGTAATCGTTCAATTCTTTGACAGCCCTCCTGGCCGAGTTGTTGTCGATGAAGGTGACGAAGCAGAAACCTCGGTTGGTCCCCACAAAATCCATCATCATGCGTAGTTCGTACACCGGACCGCATCTCTCTAAAACAGGAATCAGTTCGTCTTCGTAACAATCACGTGGTATCTTACCGACAAAAACTTCGCATCCTCTTCCGGGCTCTCCTATATCCCTCAACGGATGGCCGACGGGAGGGGGTCCGTAAATGCGCTGACCCGTTCCTGGCCTCTGTTCGATGGGAAAGCCCGTGCGAGCCATCAGCAATCGAAGGGCAGTTTCGTTGCTGGCTCCCGTCACACCCAGGATCTCATTGCCTGCCTTCATGCTCACCACATCCAAGCAGAAGTCGTTGACGTCATCGTCCATTAAGTCGTTTGTTGTTGTTGTTGATGTGGGTGGTGGGTTTGTTGATGAGTTATTTGGCTGTTGCTGTTGTTGTTCGCTCGTACTTGCGTTACAGTTGGTTGTATTTGTATTGTTGTTGTTAATGTCAATTGTGTTATTGCTGTTCATGTTGTTGTTGGTGTTGTTGTTCATGTTGTTGTTAGTGTTATTGATGCCGCTAACACTGTGAACGTTCTGACGATAAGTGCAAATGTTATGGCTAACGACGACGTTGTTGTTGTTGTCGTTGTTGTTGTTGTTGTTGTAACCGATCTTCTTAATCATCTGAAGATCTTCAAATTTGGCGAAAACCTTTCAAACAAATGATTAAGTGTGAAGCTGCGCTGGTGTATTTATTTTGTTTGGATCGTTACATTTTTGCGAGAAACAAATACACTCTTGAAACTAAATCAATACTCCAAAAACTAGGTTCAAAATTTGCAACATATTTTATCACAATACACACAAACACACAGAAACAGACACATACATACATACAAACAAACATACACTGACACGCACCGCTCGTATACAATCAATTACTAATAATATTGAAATCTAAAGATTTTCAAAAATCTCATTTCTGTAAATAATAAATGCATCAAATTATTTATAAACATTGGTCGTCATGTAAGAAATGAATGAAATGAAATCAACAACCTACAATAAATTGAACATATATACATAGTGCATAATTGTGAATCAATTTATGAACAACAGACGCACAAACACAAAAGATCTCATTGTGTTGTGGACACGTTTGTCCTCTTCACATATACAAATTCAAATGCACTACACACGCACAAGCCCACGCCAGCACAGTGGAATGAAATTAAAAAATTTAAAAAAAATATTCCAAAAATAACATATTTTATCGAAACAATTTATTAAATAATAAATTCAATTCAAACAATAACTTAAAAAATGATAATTAAGTTTAAAATAAATAAATCGAATTGAAAAAAAATTTCTCAAAATACCTTTTATCTTCAATGAAGAAAGAAAAATATCAACGAACGAATGAATGAATCAATATATTGCTCCTCCTATAAAATAAGACAACTGAAACTGGTGATTGTTCTGAAGAGATGAGTGCTCCTTATATATACACCTCGTGTCACCCAGCTCAGGTGAGCGCACGCACGCACGCACACACGCACAACTTCATACGCAGAATACCCAACTAAATTACTCTGCACTTTAACTTTTAGTGGCACAGTGTATGCTATATGCGTATACGTGCGTGTGTATATATTGTATGTGTATGTGAATGTATGTGTATGTGAATGTACGTGTATGTTGATGTACGTGTATGCGTGCGTGTGCGTTTGTGCATGTAATTTTATCACATGAATACCTTCATATGTATGTGTATTTTAATATTTTCTACATACGACCTGTTTGTTGTATCACATGTACGTTTTCTAATTAGCATGTGTGTGTGTGTGTGTGGTGTGTGTGTGTGTGTTCGTGTGATTGTACACATTTGTATGCTTGTGTGTGAACGTGTCTCAGTAGATGTACACGTCGGTTTTGTTGTTTATTTGTGTTCCTTTCAATGCAGACAATTGTGTGTGTATGTGTGTGTGTGTGTGTGTGTGTGTGTGCATGTGATAAAAAAATTTGCCTCTTAATAGTTTTGCCATTGTTGTTGTTAACAAACAGGAAGTTTTTTGGCTTTTTGTATAAATATTTATGCAAGATATTTATAATAGTATTTACATTATAAACATGTGTGTATGTTTGTGCATATGTGCACGTATCTTTTGTAGTGTACAATCACTCATACGCACATGTCCACATTGTATACACACAGACACACACACGCGCACACACACACGCACACACGCACGAACGTACACACTCGTGACTCGCGGTGGTACTATAAACTTTCTGAGTAGTTGGGGGTCATTTGAACCACAGTTGAGATCTTCCTCTTTCCATGAAAAACATGCATGAATACGAACAAGCACACATACACACACAGACACGTTCATACTCGCACACAAATCAGCTCGAACCAACCAAACACAAAACAGACAAACACACAAACAAGAGTACACGAACAGATAAACACAAAGAACACACAACACAAACACAATCACATACAGTTTTATTTAATCCAATTTAAGGTCAATACAAAATGACCTATGCCCGCAAACACGCTTCTTATGTGTCGCTCGCTTTGCTTGTGCTACTGGCTACTGTGTTAATTATTATTTATTTGTTAATCAAGTCATTCGGTTTGACTCTAATTCTCTGATTCTTTCTCCCTTCTTCTCTCTTTTACCCTCTCTCTCTCTTTCTGTTTTTCTCTTTCCATCTTTCTCTCTTTTTTTCTGTTTTTCTCCCTTTAGTCCTTATTTTCTTTCTTTCTTTTTTTTCTAATTTTTCTTTTATTTTATTTTTCAATTCTAATTCTTTTTCTCTTTCCTTTCTCCTCTTTTCAATATTTCGTTTTTTACTTCATTTTTTTGTTCATTTCTCTTTCTCACTTGTTTTTTCTCTCTCATTCTCTTTCTTTCTCTTTCTCTCTCTTTTTCTCTCTCCTCTCTCTCTTTCTCTCCCTCTCCTCTCTCTCTTTCTCTCTCTCTCTGTTTCTTCCGTGCCCTCCATCGCATCCAAATCCAACCACCAACCAACACGTTTCACACAATAACAATGAAACTTGCACACACTTATGCATATATATATATATATATATATATATATAGAGAGAGAGAGAGAGAGAGAGAGAGAGAGAACGGGAAAGAGAGAGAGAGAGAGAGAGAGAGAGAGAGAGAGAGAGAGAGTGTGTCACATTATATATATTGCGTAATTCAATAGTTAAATAACTAACTCCGTTAATACTGTTACTACTCAACTACTACTATTACTGCTACTACTGCTACTACTACTACTACTACTGCTATTACTGCTACTTCTGCTGCTGCTTCTACTACTACTACTGCAAGACATTAAAACAGTAGAGTCAGGGCTATAAAAATAGATTTTCCCCTTCTCTCCACTATTGAACTTTTAATAGTGGAATCTACTCTTGAGTATAAAAAAATATTCTGTTTGGTAATTATAGACCTGGTTCTAAACTTGCCACGTCGAAGGATTGAGTCATATCTTTCTGGTCGTATACAACAGGTTCTTTTCAGATCCAACTTGACACATGTTGAAACTGTGTCATACGGTGTTCCATAGGGGTCGGTTCTTGGCCGCTTCTTGTTTGTGTTGTACACTCACTGAAGAGGTTTTCGAAATCATTGACAGATATAATTTCAAACATCACGGTTTTGTCGATGATATCATGTCGATGATATCATGTCGATGATATCATGCCGATGATATCACTAGCAGATCACTGCTAGTGCCCTCTTCTGTCGTTTTGATGGTCTTGTCTGCAGACTCGGATCATGTCTCTCGCAGATTAATAATGAGTAGGTGATAGCAAATAGGCTTCAATTGAATCAATCAAAAACTTATTATTACAATTATTATTATTATTATCATCAATAATTATTCAGTGTTATTATTATTATTATTGTTGTTGTTGTTATTGTTGTTGTTGTTATTGTTGTTGTATCAATACTACCAATTCTAGTATTATCACAACTAGTGTTAAGTAGTGCTCAAAGTTTTATATTATTTATATTATAATAATAATATTATAATTATTAAATTATATTATTTTGTTATTATTTTTATTATTGTTATTATTATAGATCAACCTACTAAATCACATTTAACCCAATTAGACAAGCATAAATATGTAACTAACTACAAACGTATAATTGTTATGGCCGATAACATGATTGTTATTGCTATCAGGTCAAACTCGATGACCAAACGTCTGATGGACCGTGAAGTTTAGGGTTCGCTAAGCTCGATTGACCAATGGTTCTATAATAAACCCTTTTGATTTGTTCTGTTGTGCCTTTAAGTTCTTTGATAATCTTAAAATTTCAATGTGTATATCGTTTGAAACTCACGTACCAATGAATGTTTGGTACTTTGTGTATATACCAGGAAGTACAAACATGCGCATGTACGTGCGTATGCACACGTTCGAGTTTGTTTATACGTATCTATGTACGTGTGTATGCTTATATATGTAATGTATACTCATTTATATACACAAATTGTGCATTGTTTGTGTGTAATGTGCATGTGCGTTTATACATGTATATGTGTGCGGTTTGTGTGCGTGTTTGTTTGCGCGCGCGCGCGCGCGTGTGTGTGTCTATTCATAAATATGTTTACGGTTACAAATAAATAAAGTTGTTTATATAAAAACAAAATGTGTGAATTTGTTGGTTGTTTATAACATGATAGAGACGCACTGAATGTCAGGCAAGGCCAAATATTTGGCCGAACTTCGCCAATCGGCTACGGTCATTTTTAAAGGCCGAGTTGTCCAATCGTGCTATTTCAGGACAAAATTGTGGATTAGAATTAGAGAAAAATTTTTTTTGGCAGTCATAGCTGTTGAAATTTTTGAATTTTGAATGCTATCTCAATGAAGATAGATGGATATTTATAAACTGCGTTATGCTTTTTATTAAACATTTTGTTTGTCATTGTAATTTTTTATTTTCAATTGTAACACGTAGATGCTTTCATATTTTCAAACATTATCACCATCATGTCATCTGGATTTGTATGAGAAGCAACAACAACATCATCCTGATTATCGATACTAAAGTTAATCATCAGCGTCATCATCATACATACTCGTCATACACATCATCATACATCACCATCGTCATACTCGTCATCATCATCATCGTCATCATTATCATCGCCACCATCATCATCGTCACCATCATCATCATCGACTTCTTCTTCATCATTATCATAACCCCCACGGGCGCATAAATCATTATTATAATTACCATCATTAAATAACCATTCGGTTGGTAGAGATCATAAATTTAATTAAATTAAAATTC